CAAACTGAGTGTGTGGTGGTATAATTGGCCGCTCAGACAGTCTACAGATGTTATTTTCTTTCAACTACTAGAGTAATTTCAGATGCTGTTTTCCTGTCACCTTCTGAGGAGTTCTCTGTGTCGTTCTTAACAGGCTGAGATGACGTTTCACTTCAGAGGGTTTTAAAACTTTATCAACCTCTGTTATTAGAGTGATGATGGGTTTGAGCTGTTTTGTGAAACACGATGTAGCCTAATACTACTTAAAGTAGCATTCCTCGAAGGAATGTGTACCACTTTCTGCCGATCATGCCAGAGTTTAAAACTAAGATTATCAGGAGAAATTATGGAGTTGTAGCTGTTTTGGTCAAACCTAATAACCTCATGCAATACCAGAGGATATTATGTTCAGAGTATGTGTTGTGGATCACTTTCAGCTGTAAGCACAAGAAATTTTAGCTCAATATCTGTAAAACTGACAAAGTTGTAGCCATTTATGTGTTGGCTAATGTTAATTAGCTGTGGCGGCCATCTTAAATTGGATTAAGTTAAACGGTCGCAAAAGTTAAACCAGTGCTTGAAGTGGGATGGTACACAGTACCACCACATTTTACCCATCAGCGTACTGCAGCTTTTTTRCCCCTGAGTTCGGTGTGTACTGGCACTTTTTCTGGTGTTGTAACAGGTGTTTCAACAGCCTGCWTTTCTCCATCAATACGCTCCCAGACCTAAAACTCTGGACTGCACAGGTTAAAGAAATGCTCGTTCTCGTCTCTTCTTGCACACAGACAAAGTCAGGAACAGAAAAAAACGGGACACAGAATGGAACAAAGAAGATGAAAAAAAATGCATGAAAACAGGGAATCTGGTGCTGAACAGTAAAAAATCAAGAGCTTTGAGTGGCAGATCAGTTGAAACACATGAGGAAGATGAGGCATTACTGGTAAGCATGAATATAAAAAAAACAGTTGCAAGGCAGACTAATAACATGAGAGAAACTAAACAGGACATAATAAACCAAGTAACGAAAACTTTATAGAAAAGACCAAATGCAAAAGTAAACTAAATAATGATGAAACCAGTATGGCAAGACCTTTTGAGCAATAATTAATTCAGAAAACAAACAGCATATGACAAGACCTGAACAGAAATAAAAAACACAGTAGATCATAACAGGAAAAATATTCAGGAAGGCCAGGAAGGGGAACACAACAATAAACTATGAAAATAGAAATCAAGGATATATATATATATATATATAGACTAATATGTCAGAAAATATGAAACATGATTAACCCACAAGCACAGGTGGGTAGGGTACCCCAAAATTGTCCTCAGGTGAGAATGGCACAACTTCAACATTTATTTTCTCAAGTAAAAGTAAGAAGTATCCCTCCAAGAAATTACCCAAGTTAGAGTATAAAAGTATTTGGTACAAAGACAACCCAAGTACTGACTAACTGAGCAGAACGTCTGATTTAATATTTCAAAATGATGTCATCAGACAGACATAAAATATAAAGTTGTGTTCAACTTTGATATTTTATGTATTAAAATAAAAAAATAAACACTTTCCCAAAAATGTTTTGAYATATAAACGRATACTGATTCAGAATACAATGTGTATGTACAGTATGGTGGAACAGTAAAGTACGTCCAGTGGCAACTTGTATCTTTTTCACCTTCAAATGTGTCAGCAGGCTCAGCAGATAGAAACTAACACCAAATCAACAAAGCTTGTGTTCAAACAAGAATTCTTATTTTAACAAACTGTAGATGTGTCAGCTGTGTATTTATAGCCTGTAGGATCCAAACACGTTACTTAATAAAGAGAAGTGACACTTCATAGTAACATTACTCAAGAAAAGTAAAGAATATGATGCAGTAAAACTWCTTCTAAAAGRACATTTTTCCAAAAGGTTACTTAAGTAAATGTAACTGGGTAAAAGTAATTAGGTACTACGCATTCCAAGACYCTTGGACAACAAAAACAATGATAAAATTGACTCTTGTGGATTTGATTTAGAACTGGATTTGTTCTTTGTCATTTCTGTGCAATAAAACMCCAGATCTATAGACTAATCCATATAAAAACATTATGTGTATTTCTGTCCCATATTTAGATGACATTAAGGGGATTATCGGCACTTATTTTTTTCACTTAAAGTACTGCATAAAATCAGAGATTATTTTCTGAGGGTTTAATTGAAATCTGTCTTCTGGTTCATGAGATATGTTGCTAACAGACATACAAGGWTGACTCAAGTATCAAAGCTAAAATTTAAAGTAGAGAGTTTTAGAATGAGTAGCACTATCACTATTATCACTATAAAAGATTTAAGCTAAATATCTTTCAGACTGACTGAGGTACCACCTTTCTTAAAATCAATTGGCTGTGGCAGCCATCTTTAATTTGACTCCAAAAGTGAATGAATTTTAGTTGACCATCCAGCAGAGGCGATTGCTCTAAGACTGCCAAATTCACAGCCTCTTTTTTTRCCGGTTTTCCCAGTCCACCAAGGACCCGACCCACCTCGACTGGGTAGTCTGGGTCCTCCGGAGGACCCGGCCTGTCATTTTGGACACAGCCTTAGACATGGGGCTAATACTTAGATGTAGGGCTAACACCTAAACACCACACTAGATGTGGAGCTGACACTTGGATGTGGGTTACATTCTATGATTTCTTGCTCCAGGACACGGGTGAGCCTTTAGACCGAGCACTGACTCCTGGGTGTTTACAGATTCTCGGCGGGCAACATTCATCTGATCAAAAACGATCGAAGTTYAAGATTCATAATGATGAAGAGGTTAGAGTGAACGTTTGGCCAAATGTCTTGTTGACTGTCGTGCCCCTTGGACGAAACTACACCCTCCCACTACTCAACACACACACACACACACACACACACACACACACACACACACACACACACACACACACACACACACACCCTCCCCTGTGCACGGGGCCCCTCAGCCGCCTTTTCTTTCCCTCCTTTTCTTCTCAGATCCTCGCCCTGTCCTCCCTGTTGATCTCCTGTTTTCCATCTCTGTCTGCTCTCTTTCCTTCTCTTCCTATGCTCACACAAAACACACACATACACACAAATACACACATTTCATACTTTTGCCTTTGCTCACTAGCCATATCTTTCTCCTTTCTCTCTTTGGCCCCCTTCTTTTCGTTACCCTCCCCCTTAGCTGCCCCCCCACCACCACCACTACCACACACACCATCCCCCCGTCCTTCTGAAACAAAGTGTGTGTTCTGCCACACACACATATACACACGCTCACAGAGAAACTGGTGCTTTACGTCCCCCAGGAGTTGTTCTTAACTCGCTGACTGAGGCATGGCTCTGTGTGTGTGTATTCACGTGCGCAAGTCTGTGWATGTGTGTGTCTGCTGGCGTGCACATGCGTGTTAATGCGGACCATGCACGTGGGGGCGCAGGAGGGTTGGGGGTAGAGGGTTCGGGTTAACATGTTTTTGTGTGTCTGCACTGCTGACTCCACACATGATCCCCATTAGAGGCTAGCAGGAGTAGACACAAACACACACACACGTGCTTTTATCTTTACCCACACACACACAAATTCCTCCTCACACACGCACACTTCCATGCACACAGGTATATGTGCATCCACCAAACGCACACATTCACACACGCACACACACATGCTTTATGGGGTTCTGTGGGGCCTGATTCTGTTTCCTCCCTTATGGAATCAGGTTTGAAAATGATTTAGAACATTTTATAGCCAAAAAAATGAACATTTAAACTGTTTTCTTGGCGTCATCATAACACCGAGGAGCAGGGAGGTCAGGGGGCTGGAAGTGATGTCATCAGAGAGTAAAATATCACTCCTGGGCAACCAAACGTGTCCTCAGAAACCAGATGTGCCACGAACATGAAGGCGACGTCTGAGGCTCGGTTCACGAGTGGAAAATCAAAATGTGAAGGTTTACAAAGATGAGCCAAAAATACAAAACAAAACTGTGGAGGGTCCAGTTCATGTTCTAATCCACTTCAGTCTAAAACTGAATCAAACTCATCCCAAACCAACAAAAACACTCAACTCAATCAATATTCAACACGAACAGAACTGCTACTGAAGGAACAAATTGTCTCGCTTCAATTTGGGTCTCACAAAAATCTGTTTAAAAGCTCTGAAGTGGACAATTAGTTTTGAAACTCTGATAGTTATTCTTTAATATTTTTACCATCTCTAGTATCTATGTTTCCAGGTACCTATGGTCCCTGGTACGTATGTTTGAGATACCCATATTTCCATGTACCTATATTTCCAGGTATCTCTGTTCCATAGTACCCATTTTCCATGGTACAGAAGTTCCCCAGTACCTATGTTCTATGGTACACATAGAACATGGGTACCTACATTTCCAGGTACCCATGTTCCCTGGTATCTATTTTTACTTGTACTTATTTGCCCTGCTTCCTATATTTCTAGGTACCTATGTTCCCTTCTATCCATTTTCCCTGGTACCAACGTTTCTGAGAATCTATGTTCCCTGGTACCTATATTTCCAGGTACATGTTTCCTGATACTTGTGTTCCCTGGTACCTATATTTTCAGGTACATGTTTCCTGATACTTATGTTTCCGGGTACCTATACTCCATGGTACTTATGTTTCCAGGTATCTATACTCCATGGTACCTATGTTTCCAGGTATCTATGTTCAAAGTGCCATGTTCCCTGATGCCTACGTTTCCAGGTACCTATGTTCCCTGGTGCTTATTTTTCTCAATATCTATGTTCCCTTGTTCATATGGGCTTTGCTACATCTGTTTTGTGATACCTATGATTTATCAGTACCTATGTTTCCAGGTACCTATGTTTCTCAGTACCCATGTCTACAGTACAAATGTATTTAGGTCTGTGTTTCCTGGTACCTATTTTCCCTGATTCCTTTGTTCCCCAGTACCTATGTTTTGGTACATTGCCTGGAGTGTAATTCTGCATGTTTTTTTAATTAAAATACATTTCGAAGGGGAGACATTTTTCATGACTTTCATTATTAACCATGGGATAACTACACTCCCTTTTTTCCTGGTACTTTGGTTATTTTACCACAGTCAAAAAAAAAAAAAAAATACATTTTAGGTTGCCTTCAGTCCCAGGCCTCCCTTGCAAAAGAGATCTGTGATCTCAGTGGGGTTTGTCTGGTTAGACAAAGGTTGATAACATAAATCTTTAACACAACAAACAAACAGACAAAAACATTTTCGCTCTTTTACCTTCAGCAGTGGGCAGTGAATCTGTCGGACTGTTGCAGTGTCCTCCTGAAACCACCCAGGTAAAAATGTCTTGAAGGTAACATCGCTCCACAGCTGTAAGTCATCAGAGCAAAAAGACCCCACAGACAAACTTCAGCACATTTTCTTTCTATAGTGTTCAAAATTCAACGTCACGTTTTTCCCAAAACAAGATGAAAAGTGGACTAATCTGACCGCAGGACGAGTGTCTGCGGTCTCTTTTTTGCTTCTCAGACGTGTTCAACCAGGCAGCATTTCTCTAAAGACACGATGCAGGCCTTCATCCTGGTGTCAGACTGTGAACACACACTTTATTGTTCGTGTGGCGCATCGATCACAGCAACACAGGCAATGTGCATCAAACAAAGTTTGTTATTTCCTTTAACTTTTACACTCAGGTTTTTCTCAAACTCCATGACTGAAGATGTCAGAGTCCTTTGTTTTATAGTTTGCACAAAAAATGTGTTCCTCCAGTCCCGGTGTTCAAAACATTTACAACTCATCAGTTTTCAGTACTTTTGTGTGGTTTTGGTTACTTGTTTGTTGCTCCTTTTTAATATCTTGTTCAGTTTTAATCCACTGTAAATAACTTTGAATTCATCTTTGTTGCATTAGAGGCTAAATAAAGGTTGATTGACTGATTGAAGGTTATGACTCACATCGTATCCCTGAAAGAAAATATATATATTTCTTTGACACAAAATTAAAAGATGTTCAGTTTTTGTTATTCAGTTCTTTTTTTTTAGACAAAAACTATTTTTTCATAAAGGAAAAAGGAAAAATTGGGATTTTGAGTGTCATTTAAAAAAATAATTATTAATTTTACTATTATTTTTAATGTTTGCCAAATACAACCCTGACTTTAAGATGTATATTTTTAACTCTGCGAGGAACTCGTGTGTTTTTTCATTTCCACTAATGAACACCTGCCTCAGAAAGCTCAGTCATATGTTTACCTGTGTGCCTCTGTGCCTGTTTGTTAGAAAAATATCTCAGGCACCACTGGGCAGGTTATAATGAAACTTTCACAAAGTCATCAATGGACTACGGAAGCTGAGAGCCAGCGTTTTCCACAGATAATTTCTTTCCTTGGTTTTCTCTCACCAAATACAGCGGGTAAAATAAGTATTGAACACGTCACCATTTTTCTCAGTAGATATATTACTAGAGGTGCTAATGACATGAAATTTTCACCAGATGTCGGTAACAACCCAAGTGATCCATACATACAAAGAAATCAA